AAAAAAAAAAAAAAAAAAAATTCAATTTCTGTTTTTACTAAAAAAGAATTGAGTGTAAAGGGTAAGAATAATTACTATTTTATATAATGCGAGTTTGCCACGAGCTCTCTGACGCGGTTGTCTTGAGCTAACGAACCTTCTGCTATGTTCGGTTCATTTACTTTAACTCGTCCTAGCTGACGAAACTCGAACGAACTACTATCGAGTCGAGTTCTGAATAGTTGGCAAAGAGCATAGTTTATTTACATGCACTATGTTAATAAACAACATTTTCTGGTGAAGCAAAAACAAACAAGAAAGTGAAACTTGTAGACAATAACCGTCATTTGCAGTACAAAATCTTGCACAGCACTAAAATTAATGGACATGGGAATCTGTCACATCAACATCAACATCAACATACCCAGTATATTCCCAAACAGGTTGGGGTCTGGGGGGTCAGTTGTACGTAGACCTTACCCTTGTAATTATACAAGGAGGCTGTTTCCATAGCGACCCAAGGTGCGTTGCGTCGTTTGATATATTTTTTTTCTAGAAACTTCACTAATAGAAGAAGCACTAGAATTTAATTGAGCCATTTTGATCTAGTCCATTATTTGCACGATGCCAGAAGAATTGTCAACATTGACTCTTACAGCTCCATTTGCAATGGACTCGGACATGGGAATCTGTACAAAGATAATAATATTACACTAGTATAGTGCCCACATACATATTAGTTTGTTGGCTGTACAAATTTTTTTTTAATAAACTAAAATAGGAGAATGAAAAGAAAAGAAGCATCATACTTGCATGATGTACCTATATTATTTTAAGCCTTCCTTTTTCTGTTAAAGCTCAAGCAACCCCCGCTTATTACCCAATCCCATCTAACTAAACCTAATTATATTAATAAAAACTTTAACCACTAAAATTGTACACACACACACACACACACACACACACACACACACACAAAAAAAACAGTCAGAGGGCCGGTGACTGGACCATGGTGAGTGGGCAGTTATGGCAAGAACATGGGGGGGCTTATTACACCCCCTCTCTACTACTTCCTGGTTTTTTTTTTTCCCGCTCATATTCTTTTTATTTTCTCTTTCTTTTTCAATCCCACGCTCAAAAAGCTTGAGCGTCTTATATGAAAATGGTCGGTTATTTTCTAATGGTCACACCAAACATCCACTAAACATTACTATAAATAATGGCTTCTTATGTTTCATTAGCATCACCAAACAAAACTTTGATGCAAACTCTTTGTTTCAGTTTTGCTCTGTCTTTCCTCACTCACTTGTCAACATCATCTCAAAAGAAATTCCAAAACCTTAAACAATGACTCCTTTTAGTTCCCTTCCCCTGTTTGCATGCACTCTTTATCTGTTTTTGAGCCTTACGATGTTCCAATGCATTGCAAGATACCATCACCATCATAGCAGACATTCTCATCGTCATCACGGGTCGCAAATTTCCATGCCGCCGTCATATCCTCCGAGCCCACCTCCCGAAAACTGCTGTAATAACGGCACTTTTGACGTTAGGATGTTCGGTGCAGTTGGAGATGGCATCACAGACGATACGGAGGCATTCAAAACGACTTGGGACATCGCGTGTGGGACCTACTCGGGTGTACTGCTCGTGCCTTACGGCTATACATTCATGATCCAGCCGACTATATTCACCGGCCCATGTCAAAACGGGTTCGTTTTTCAGGTAAATTTTTACTCGAATCTTGATTTTTGCAATTTTTTTTCTTTTAGGGTTTTTAGTATTCATTGTGGTGTTTTGATAAGTTGGACGGGACTGTAACGCCGCCCGATGGGCCCGACTTGTGGCCGGCGAACAACAGCAGGCGACAATGGCTGGTTTTTTACAGAGTTGATGAGATGTCATTGCAAGGAGGTGGTTTGATTGATGGAAGGGGTGCACAGTGGTGGGCTTTACCTTGCAAACCTCACAAGGTTTTTTTTTTCACTTTTTTTTTTGGCTTACTGTTGGTTTTGCTGACTTGTAACCTGTTTTTGCTGACTTGTAACCAATAATGAATGTAGGGAGCTAATGGGACTATAATACGGGAACCATGTGACAGTCCAATTGTGAGTGAGTTATGGCAAAAAGAAGTTTTAAAAGACCCCAAAAGTGTTCAATTCTTGTTCGCCATTTAGTTGTCTGAAAGTAATATTTTGTACAAAAACTGCAGGCCATAAGATTCTTTATGAGCAACAATTTGACAGTACAAGGAATCAAAATCATGAACAGCCCCCAGTTCCATTTCAGATTCGACAACTGCAAGAATGTTCATATAGAGTCTATTAGCATATCAGCTCCAGCATTGAGTCCCAATACAGATGGGATTCATATAGAAAACACAAACAATGTGGGGATATACAACTCAGTAATATCCAATGGTAACTACTCACCAATTCTCCCCCAAGCACCTTTTTGTGCATTTATTTTTCTTGAAAAGGAAACAAATCTCATTCTTCAACTTTGCTCCAGGTGATGACTGTGTCTCGATAGGATCCGGCTGCTATGATGTAGACATCAGGAATGTAACATGCGGGCCGAGCCATGGGATCAGGTAGTGCAATTCTCATCCAAGATTGAGCTCCATCATGCACTGCATCATACAATTCCCATTCTCTAGAACAGTTTAATGAAGTGTTTGCACTTAATATTCTTGCATAGGCTATTAGGAACTGAGATGCTAAGATATGCCTTGTGCAGAAAACACATAGAATGAGAAAATAATAGTTACAGTTGGGGATGCAAATTTTTCCATTAATTCACCTCATTTTTTGTAACATTTAGTATTTCAACCAGTGTAAAGTGGTTCATTGGTCTCTCTGCATAATTAGTATCGTCAAAACGTAAACAGATCTATAGTTCAGGAATTAATATAGTTCGAAAAGGAAAGGAGGCCTATTTTAGTTCAAAAAGGAAACGAGGCTATTGACACTGAAGTTCTAAAAATGATTTATTTTGGTGGAGGGAAACAAATAAACATTCTGATTATGTCATACTCACTCCTCCACCCCAAATTACTAGTCGTTTTCATCGAAAAAATTATTTTTCTGTCATGAATTCAAGACTCAATTCCCCACTGTCCTCCAAAATCTTACCTGCTTTACCGTGTTGTCTGTCCACCTCAGCATAGGTAGTCTAGGCAATCACAACTCCCGTGCGTGCGCATCTAACATCACCGTACGCGACTCGGTCATCAAGAACTCGGACAACGGCGTTCGAATCAAGACCTGGCAAGGCGGCTGGGGAGCCGTGTCGGGAGTCACATTCGACAACGTCCACATGGAAAACGTGAGGAACCCAATCATCATCGACCAGTTCTATTGCCTCGCCAAGGACTGTGCCAACCACACCTCGGCAGTCCGAGTATCCGACGTGCAGTATTCAGGCATCAAGGGCACTTACGACATTCGAAGCCCCGCCATGCACTTTGCTTGCAGTGATTCAATACCTTGTACCAATATTACCCTTTCGGACATTGAGCTGCTTCCGGACAAAGGTGATGTCATGCTGGATCCTTTCTGTTGGAGTGTTTATGGAGAGCTGCAGACACTCACAATCCCGCCTGTTTCGTGCTTCTTGGAAGGGGTCCCAGGGTCGCTTTTGGAAAGTCAAATCGGTTATTGCTGAAAAAAATTGGAACTTTTTTTAATTTTCGTATTCTTGCCTAGATATAATGTACATAAAGATGCAAAAATGTGTCTTGCAGCTATATTGCAGTCACCATGGTGTTTTTTACATGTTGAACAATCTCAAAATCTTCGAATTTTTTCACTCTGTTTTGAACTATACTTTGATTACAAATTTCATAAGCGCCCAAAATGATGTGGATAGTAGCTGAAAGATTGGATTTTTAATTGTTTTGTGGTACATGTAAATAGGATGCAAGAATTCTTATGACAAAGGAATTTGTCAAAACATTAATGTTCGTCTTCATGGGTTGGCTGGCCCTTCAAGAAGATGAACAGCAATTTGCGGCTTTGCGATTGCCAATATTGTTTTTACAAGTTTGAGCATATTAAAATAAATCTTCATATATATATATTTTTTTAACTATTGCGAATTATGAATAAATTGCAATACCCATAGCCCAAAAAATAACCTTTCAAAATCCTAAGATCTCAATCGAGTCACTATCAAGTATCAACCCAAGGTCCCAAAGATATTAGAAAGTCATTTTCAGAGGGAAAAAAAAAAAAAAAA